TGCAATGGGGGTGTGCTATGGCTCATGTATTTGATTTTGATATAGACATTACTTTGACGTGTTTCCCAATGGAAAACAGACTACACACAAAAGGCTCATTCAAATTCCTCTTACCTACCATAGACTTTAGAGTTCGCAAATATCGAATATATGACAACATGCATTCTGGGATAACTACTGTTATGTTACCAAAATTTCTTGAAACAGCCATATCAACTGTTGAAGATCTATGCAGTTAAGGACTTATATTGACACTGACAGTAACATGCAGTGGAAAGATTTTCACAAAACGACCTTGGGATATTTGATACATTTCCGTCATTTCTGGCCATGTCCTTGGGAAATGGCTAGCTGGGTCAGAGTTCAAACCCAAGCATTGAGAGCACAGTAACAACCTTTGTATTCCTGTCATTCCTGCTGCAGCTCAGCTGTCAAGGTCACCCTCCCTGAGTCCCACACTCTACTCCAATTTCTAGCCTCAAGGCACAGAAATTTAGACAATCTTCAGAGAAGTGGAAAAAGAATTAGGTCGACATCAAACAACCTTTATAAGATTTGTGCACTCAGGAATAAAGGTTAAAGTAAAATGTTAAATGTTTGAATGTGCTTTCTTGAATTGTTCTTTAATTATGTGCATTTCAGTACATAAAATAGACAAACTTGTGTATTTCCTGTGAGATTTATGGGGTGCAGACAGGCTGGTGTGTCTGGAGGGGTGAGGTCTGAGTTATCAGGTCCACAGGGAGAGATGTTTACACTTCCTGTTGCCACCTCCTGGGTGTGTTCAGGTGTGGGAGGGGGGCAGCTGAGGTCATGCCCTTTCTTACCATCAGCATGGCTCTCTCAGGTTGTTAACATTTGATTACCTATCTACAATGATTCTGATTTTCAAATTTCTTTGAAAAAGTGTATAGAAATATTTCTTTACCTATATTTCAAATATCAGAAAGGAAATTTTAATATATTACAGATTTGATATTTCAATATTTTACCATATAGTTAGATGAAGTAAAATGATCATGAAATACCAGAGTATATTTCAAACTAATGCTCTTTGAATGTTTTTTTTTTTCTTCTCCTCTTCTACACAGCAGTGATTCTTTGTTGATAGGTTCAAGACTAACAAAGGCACCCTCTAACACTGTGTGGTTACTTAAAGGAGTTTTGAGTCATGTTGGAGCAGTTGTTAATTTGATCCAGAAAAGGGTGGTAACCCTAATGACCCTTGTAAACAATGCTCCATCACCTTCTGTAAACCATGACGGCTGTGAAGTTGACAGTGCTTGAACTTTGTGATGAAGTGGAGTGAGCCCCCACCCAGAACCAAGTACCATGGCACTGTCAACACAAAACACCCACAGGTAGAACAGCTATGATGTCATCAATGAGAGCATTGAGAGGTAACCAGCAAGACTCTTCAACCTGCCAGAATTCCAAGTATTCAATTTTCTGGTTCCACCCGTCTTAATTACAGCGCAGCAAATGACATACTTGAGCTTGCACACCCCCACATCCCCATCTCAGTACAGTCATACTGTTGACAGGTTACATGCACAAACATATTTGTTACTATGGGAACCTTTTAAGACATCTCCACAGAAAGGTAACCAATCCTCTTTCAAACAATGTGCAGTTCACTGGAAATATTCCAGAGATTTTTAAATGAAATAAGGAAGGTGAAACTCAAGGAACATTCTAACTTTTGAGACAGAAATTTTAATTAAGGAATTTCAAAAGTAGAAATATTTCTATCAATTAAGACAATGTAATTTCATCATGTACACTACAGCAGCAAAGGGGCTATATAACTGCTCATTTAGATACATCAAACAATGTACTGTATCATGAAAAATATTTCTTAAACAAGAATAAGAGATAAAATGCCCTGCTAAACTATTATATTTTACTCGTTTAATGCCTGAATACAAATGACTCAATTTCAAACTTCATAATCCTCCCATAGGTCAACTCTATTATATAATGCCCAACAGCTCTGGAACAGCAAGAGACCTGGGTGCTCTGTCCATAAATAATGACCATGGGGGAATGAGGTAAGATGGCGTCATGTGGAAGGCTGGCTCCGTGCCAGTTCCACATATCTGACATGGCAGTCAAGTTCATGGTTCTGTAGCAGCTGTCTAACCCTTTGTCCTTGTCTAACAAGCCCGGCCCACACACAGAAGTGGAACTAATCTTTACTGTCATGCTTCTTCTACTTATCACACATATAACTGTAACACAAGTACTGACAGTTGGGACTGTTATATGAGCAGTCAAAGTTATAACAGCTGGGATCAACATTCTGTTGTCCTGAATGTTTAATGTGTGCCAAAAATCAATGAGGTTACGATAGGAGAGGTAGGGAGGAAATTCAAGTGCTGCCTTGGGATATAAGTTTGTGATGTTAATTTTTGCAATAATGAATAAGCCACAAAGTCACAAATTATAGATTTGTTAATGTTAGGTGTCAATCTCTACATGGAGAAGAGTAAAATCTAATGCTCAGGAATTTCAACAAACTTAATTCTTCTACTATTGGTTTCCATCGAAATGGTTTGGTTGCCTGTTAGACTAAGTGTAATGATTCTAATACCCATTGCAAACTATTCTACTTGAATTATATTGCAAACATTGAAACTACCATCTGGAATATCCTCTCAAAGTCTAGGAATCTGCTTAGAAATGATCATTGAAGGATCTCGGAATTCTTTCTAATAATGTTCAGCACAAATTTGGTGCTGACACACACAAATTTGGTAAGTACAAATTTGGTGCTGACACACACACAGTGGATAGCAATGACCCCAGGAGTGGCTCCCTGCCTTCCTGTGTGCACTACAGCTGGTAGGGACTGATGAGAGTGCCAGACATGACTCACCGGCTAGGTACAGACTAACTTACTTTACTCCTACACCAGGCATGTATTATAAAGTGGACATGTCTGGCTAATCTGCATGTATATCCAATAAAGACCCAGTGCCAAGGCGTCACGTGCAGAGCTTGCTTCTACAATTACCTGAAGTGTCGCCAATTCTGTGGCAGCCAGAGAAATGCTCTCCTCCCATCTCTCCATTATTATTCTGTCATACCACTTCTAGTATTCTATTTACAACAGAAGTACACTGTTATCAATATAACCCTGAAACTTTAGTGAAAGACCAATAAGATCAATACACATGCACTTCCTCTCAGTTTGAAATGCTTACTAAGGAAATGTTCCATCTCCTTTCTATCTTTTGGATATCATCCCAAAATACATCATAACATAGCTTTATAGGCTCCAATCTTACATACTGACGTAGCGTAACCCAGACTGATAATAGAATACTTTGCATTTCCTAAATATCAGGCACATTATTTGGACACTACCTCCGTTGCTGAGCAAATCCACTCCAACCCCTCCCTCATGCTAGACCCTAATCTTTAGTCTATCAGTAATCGGCGAACCAAATGAAAAGGCTCATGTCTAACGAGTGAGATACCTCGCTCACTATAGCATAACACACCAAATTGTATATTATCCTAGCTGCAAGCAGTAACAAATATCTTGAAAATGTTCTTCAGATGATAACCGGAAAGTGAGTAAGTGAGAATACCATAGTACAGTCAATAAAAAAGTGCTGTGTTGACAGGAATTGGATGTGTGATGTTATAACTTGACCTAACCAGTTTGTGATGTACGTATCTTACCTTGGTGAGGTGCTTGTTCACCCATTTTGTAAAAGTTTTCTTCTGCACTTGATCTTGCTCATCTGGAAGAGAAAAACAAAAAAATTGATCAAAATCAGAACATTTATAACAGATATTGAGGAGCAGCAATGTCGGATAAAATCATTCAAACTGTAACTTTTAATTTTGTCTAGTAGTACGTAGTGAAATTATTTCTTTCTAATTTTCATTGTAGCTCATCTGGAATAGACCTTAAATGATATATGCTGGCAAAACAGCCAAAATCAACATCGTAGACTAAGATTGTGCTACTGACAAAAATTCTGTCTTCATTCTGATCCTTCTCTGCTATTGCATTGTTTGAGTCGAGAGAGGTGCTGAAGCTACACCTAACAAGGATGTGTATTTTGGGGCAAATATTTATGTCAAAGAAATTTAGATTACATTCAACAGTCTGTGGAATCAAACTATGTAGAACGAGTGAAAGCGACAGGATGTTTCAGGTGTTGTGTTCTTTCCCCACCACCTGTTTTGTGAGGTTACCTGATACCTAGTGTAACAGGGTGAAGAACACCTGGGGACGAGGTAACCATGTCAGACTAAACAGCTCACAAACACGATTAGGACAGAGTAACATTCTTGTCACGCCAGGTTACCCAGGTGAACCATGCGGAGGGGAACAACTCTCTTGTTGTATATCAACAAGGCGGACAAGTAGCTGGTCAGAGGTTTGAAAGTGTGAATTCAAACAAATCTTACACAGACAAATCTTATACAATATACAGGTTTTTTAATGACTACTTCATTCTTTTCACACAGGGGAAATTTGATGATCTCTAGAGCCACACCTGGTATTACAGTAATTTAATTTCAAACGGTGCAAGACCAACTGGCACAAGACTATGGCAAGAAACGGGACAACATTTGCCAGTCCAAACAAAATGCTTATTCTTGCTACAGTCATGATATGCCAAACTACATGTATCTGTATGGTTAAAACAATTGCCAACATTTTGATTTTCTATCAATCTATGACACCCCTGGGGCTGGTATACTGTACTTCCTATGTCATATCCATCTCATCATTGCCCCTGAATATGAAAAGGAGTTTTGCTGGGTAGTCTGGTCCTATTAGAATCCTTCTTAGCCCTTCCGAACTGACAGTGACAAAGGCTTTCCTAAGATCTATAAAGGCAGCATATTGTCCCATTACGTACTCTCCAAGCAGAGATTATGCCTGTTTTCTGACTTTTTAGAGCTTTTGTTACCCAGAATATCCAATTAATTGCCAACAGAATAGAAAGCCAGACAAAACGTTCAAAAAAAGCTTTTAAAAAGTCTGAAAACAGGTCTAACCTCCATTCTACTAGAGAGTATCGTTTTTGCTCCATGTGCTTTACCTAAATCTACCTTAGAACTTAAGTCATGTCAGTTGTACCTCCGTTAGCCCTTTCAGGTGGGGTCTCATCAGCAACTGTAGGGATAAGCCGGCCCTGGATGATATTGGTCAAGATCTTCCCAGCAATAGACAGTAGCAGTGCTATGATGAATACGGTAATACATGGATATTCTATGCTCCTTTCCTCATCGTCCTCCATGGCCAAAACCATTTTTTCTAAAATTGTTTGGTAACCACGTATCACGCCCAAGTTGACGCCCAAACCCCTTTCCTGTCCCCCGCACTGACGTTATTCCAACACCCTTTAGACGGGCGTGCCTCCATAAAATTGACCTCTAGCACCAAACCCACATCAATAACAATATCTTCCTGACAATCCACTTCCAACCAGCACTTCTCTTTATACTATTATAGGATGACCTTCCAAAAAGACTACGTAATGTTATTACACAAAAACAACTACCATTTTCAGCTATACACTAGAGCTAGTGCTTGTGATATTTACATATTTACATATCCTGGTGAAGGTATAACCAAACAGGACTCAATAGTTGGTACACAGATCAATTTGATAGACTACTAAGTGTGCAGGCAATTTTACAAGTCCTTTCTGATTTATGTTCCTCATATGTAGGGACATGGCTGACCTAAAATAGCCAATTCCCCCTTTAACATACCAATAATGTATTCCATATGACCCATGGTGCTGCAAAGATTTACTTATAACATAGAACATCAAGGAAAATGCCCAATTTTGGACATCAAAAATTTCTCTGCGATCTCCTCTTTCAACAGTTCTTTCTATGTGGCTGGTAGCAACTGCTGAATCAAAGGTAGATGGGTTGCTCTATATCAGGACGTCTCCCCGAATAGTCTGCTTTTTATTTTGGCTCAGCCAGACACGGGCAGTAAAGATGCAAATCACATAACATCAATATATATCAGGCCGGGCTGACAGTGGGAACACTGGCTCCCAACCAAGCACTGCCGGCCTTTCAAAGGGTGGCAGTGTCAGTGGCTGTTCTATTCTATGGTAGATTTTATGTTTCCCTTTTCAGATGAATGATTATAAAATGAGTGTGTACGTTTGATCATAATTTCTAAATGCATGAACCATTCACAGCATAATATCTATGGTTCGTATGAATCAAAATATAATTGTGAGCGCAACAATAATGGAGTTGTAATATCATGGCACAATGTTATGAATGTTAAGTATGCATATGTCATTGTTATGTGCTCCATGCTCCATGCCCACGAATATTGCATATAAGTACTTTCATACCAAACACCAAAACGGCCTCAGTGAGTGAGCATGACTGTACAGTGAGGGAGCTATATTTTGGGTACCCGAAACGAGGTTTTGCACGACGTGAGGTTACTCAACTCACGTCAGTTTGCACGCGTGCCGATACTCATTTCCGCGATTGTTTGCACGCGTGCCGTTCCTCGCGCTGTGCTGAGTTCGCACGCGTGTATGTCCTCGCGCTGCGCTGACCTTGCACGCCCGTGGAATTCCTCACTACAAACCGAGTAAGCACGCATCTTGTGGGCGCAAAAGTGGAGGGCAGAACGCCGTAATGCCGGACCGAGCCTGACTAACTACCGTTGCGTGCATTTCCTCGAGGCGTCCCAAATTTACCCGCATGTGTATTTCCTCACTAAGAG